CCCCCCCCCCCCCCCCCCTAAAAGAAAAGTTAATTTCCTCTCTATTTTAACCTTTGAACTATCGCTCTCGTGACATAAATTCTTTCAAAATACTCATAAGATGATAAACTAGAAGGGGTAACTAGGTGTTGAAAGTACTAATAGTTCAGAAGGTAAGGTAGGACTAAAAATAATTGTTTGTTGGGAAATTTCGAAAAAGACAATTGAGAACAAAAATATGTTATTCTCTCTAACTGATTTAGATAAAGAATGATTACAACGTTCTCAATACAATTTCTCTCTAACAAACTTTAGAAAAAGAAATTACAATCTTCTCAGTCGGAATCCCGATTTACAAAAGTGAGAATGAATCGACGGAGATTCTTCCCTTTGTTTAAAACTAGGTTCTTCTTGGTGTTGATGGAATGCCTCCCTCGAATGATCGCGTCGAGTTTGCTTTTCATTGATGATCCAAACGCTTAAACTCGTGGAACACGGTCGAATCCTCTTGATTGATACCGATGATAACTTGCGTGGCAAGTTTGAAAATAACTCTTAACGAGTTTAAGAACTCAGAGCAAGTTTAAACTCTGTAACAGATTTGATTTGAACCGAAAATCAGTTTTTAAGCCAAGCACCAAGCTTCAAGACCTTTGTTGCTGAAGGACACTCCAAGATCTCCAAGAACACAGATGCTGATCTCTCTTTATGCGATATGGCGGATGCAAAAAGTCGATCCCATTGGAGATCCCGAATGTTGAATATCATGTCTCCATGATATTATTTTGGTGATAATAATTTATACAATGTGTGTTATACAAATGCACTAACATTTATATGCAACTTTCAATATCAAAATATGAACAAGTACAAGTTGAGTTCAAGGCATTATGAAGTGAAGAAGATGAAGAACATATGAGATAATGTATTTTACATTTTCTTTACTTAGAATTATTGTACAAGCCTTGATCACTCACATACACACACATAAATATTAGAACATACTAACACATGCTTAGTGTGTTGGTTAATTATAGAAATCTCCTATATTAACCATTAGATTTTATAATTAATATTTGAGTGTCAAAACATTTCATACATTACATTTTTCTGTAAAAACTCAGTATAGTCGACTAATGTTGAATATAGTCGACTACAAATACACACACATAAATATTAGAACATACTAACACATGCTTAGTGTGTTGGTTAATTATAGAAATCTCCTATATTAACCATTAGATTTTATAATTAATATTTGAGTGTCAAAACATTTCATACATTACATTTTTCTGTAAAAACTCAGTATAGTCGACTAATGTTGAATATAGTCGACTACAAAAGTTTCAGTCATGTTCTGTAAAAACTCAGTATAGTCGACTAATGTTGAATATAGTCGACTACAAAAGTTTCAGTCATGTTTCTGTAAAACATATGACTAGTCGACTAATGCTTATTATAGTCGACTAATAAGAAATTTTTTTGTTTCACTGAGTCGATTTTAACTCGGTGTAGTCGACTACTATGTCTTGTAGTCGACTACAGATACAATTTTTATAGATTTTAAAGTTTAAATTAATGACTGTTTATAGTCGTTTTTAAACATTTTAAAGTTAAAAATTCTTGTCTTTTCAAGGGCTATAAATAGGTTATTTGCTCAGAAAAATGCACGAAATTGATATACCCATAAGCTTTGATATTTGTGCATCTTTCAAGTGTTACAAAATTCAGATTTTGAGAAAAAGAAAAGTTTTCTGAAATTGCCTTTGATCCTCATTAAAATTCTTGTCTAGACAATTTACAGAAGTTAGAATCATTCCTAAGCCACTACTACACTACACTACAAATCAAGGCTTATAGGAATTGAAATTGTTGCTTCAAAAGTTCTCTCGGTTTGTGAGAGGTGTTAATCTCTTGGTTTAGAGATTGGTGTGCAAATTGGCAAGGTGTTTGTCAATTGGTGTTACAATTTGTAGAGACTTGCAAATTGGTCAGGTTTGCTTTTGATTTTGTAAGTTTATTCAAAATCATAGTGGAAACTCTCAAGCGGGATTTACTTGGGGACTGGATGTACACCGAATTGGTGGAACCAGTATAAAACTTTGTGTTTGTGTTTGTGAATTTCTGAGATTGCTATTTTTTTCTTTACAATTTATAATCTACTTTGCATAAATTTTAAAAGAACACTATTCACCCCCCCTCCCCCCTCCCCCCTCTAGTGTTCTAGTGTATCTATTTTAGATCCTACACCGAACTCAGTTGAGTTTTTTGCTATTTATAGGGGATTAAGGGGTGTAACCGTCCCCTTAATTCGCTCCTAAGTGGGGGAGTGATCCCCTCAAATCGTGGAAAATAGTTTTAAAACCGTTCAGCTCGTGTTTGAACGAGTCGAACACAAGAATTGCGTTCTGGACACGAATTCTGCGTTCTGGACCTGGGATGCAGAGTTAGGCTCTGTATTTGAGCCTAAAAATACAGCCACAAACTCTGTGTTTTACGTCTGGAACATAGCCACAAACTCTACGTTTTGCGTCTAGAACGTAGCTACGAACTCTGCGTTTTGAGTCTGGAACACTGCCAACTCTGCGTTTATAGTATGGAACGCAGCCACGAACTCTGTGTTTTGTGTCTGGAACGCATCCACAAACTCTGCATTTTGAGTCTAGAACACAGCCATGAACTCTGTGTTTTGAGTCTGAAACACAGCCATGAACCCTATATTTCAGGCTGAAAACGTAGCAATGAACCCTACGTTTTGGATCTGGAACATAGCCACAAACTCTGCGTTTCGTTATTGGGACACAAAGATGAACTCTGTGTCTTGACTCTAGAACACAGAGGCGAGCCTAAGACGAGCTTCAGGCTAAGTCCAATATTTAGGCGAAGTCCAGTCTTGCAGACAAACTTCAGAACATAACTTGGGTTTGAGAGATATTTGTGTTTTGATTTGAAGAGACCGTCAATTTGTAGTCTCTTTTGGTAGAGCGTTGCAAAAATCGTCGTCTTGTAACCGTCATCTTGGCTCCTTGAAAATATGAGAGTCATCAGATTGTAACTCCTGATGTTAATTATGAAGGTTGTTGAATTAGAGCTTTCATCGGATGTTGTGAAGGTTATCAGATTGTAACATTCATCGATCTACGTGAAAGTTTTCAAATTATAGCCTACTAAAATTCATCAAATTATAACTTCCATCATCAATGTTTGATGAGGATTAGCTATCTGTATTAATTTTTAGACAACCTACAGAAACCCCTCCAAAGTTTTTGAAAAGTCATGGTTGACTGGGATGAATTTTCAAAATAATTTGGATCTCAACTCTGATCTTGGAGTTGTTGATTTCTTATCATAAAGAAGTTGTTCTTTGCACCCGCTTCGAAGGCATCTTGGTTGAAAGGATTTGCCATGCAGAACCCGTGTGAGGATGAACTTCAAAGAGAAACTGTAGCAACGGTACAAGCTACTCATGAGCAGAAGCTCTTAAACGTCACGTTACGGCTCACATCCATTCAGCTGATGGACTCATAAACATTCATAGAA